GGGTGCTCGGGGGGGGTGTGTGGCTCCCCTCCAGACGGCCCTGGGCTGCCATGTCGGGAAGCTGCAGGCTCGTGTCCTTCGTCTCCTGACCGCCAAGTCCAGCCTCAGAAGGTGGAGCTGGCCCCCTCAGGTGCTCAGGGAACACACACGGCTCTGACATCCGGGCCCGATGCTGGCCGTTACCTGGTGCTTGTACCTGAGATAGTTTATCTAGAATTTATTCTGAATGTAATAAGTTACACAAGTCAGGTTGTGTTTACACTTCATGTGCTTGTACGGTCAAGATTAAAACGTCGCCTGCAGGGTGCGTCTGAAGTTTTCTACTTAAATAGGGGGGAATCTTTAATGTAAGAATGAGAAACCGTGTGAAAACTCAGCTGTATTTTACATGAACTGTGATCGTACGCTTTTCGTTTTTCTTTTTTTTCCACAGCGGGACTCAACTAGGAGGTCTAATTACAGTACTGTGCTACTTTTTCAACCACGGAGAGGTTTGTTTTCTACAAAGTACCCCTTAAGATCTAGAAGGGCCGCGTGGGAGGGCGGGTGCCTGTCGGGACAGTGCCGTGGGCGGCTGCACTTCGACGTGCACGGTTTGACGCACCCTGGTGCTGCCAGCTGACACGCTAATAGGCCGTCTGAATTTGGAAAGACACGGAATAGCTACTGTTCTCTTTTGCTATCGGGCATGTGCGCTTGCTAGAGAAAGAGAGAGAAAAAGAGAGGGCAGGTGAGAAGTCACCCCCTACTGGGGATGGCCTCGCTGCAGTCCCTTGTCCTCCATTCTCCTCCCGGGATTTTGTGCACACACGCACGGGTGCTGGCCGGGGTCGAGCCACCTAGTCAGCCCTCTGGGATCCAGAGCCGTAACTCCCTCCCACCTACCGGCCCAGGGCATTCATTTCTTCCACACCGCCCCTGCCTCCACCACACCCGCCAAGGGAAAGGTCTTCGCGGCACAGTTCACCACAGCCCAGCTAGCCTGGGCCCTGACACACACATGCACGCCCGGTGTGCACAGGGAGCCGTGGCCATGACCCCCAAGACCGGCCACGCGGTGCCCCGGCGCCCCCACCCAGCCTCCGTGTAGAAGTGTAGTGACTGCTTCGCTCCTGGCTCACGGTCGTGCCTCCCACGTAGCTGTTTCTGAAATGTACAGTGAACCCGTACAGTTCCGTGTTACACACTCAGAGTCAGCCTTCACTCCACACCGTGTGGCTGTCCTCACTCGAACTCGAGCTGCTCACTACAGCCCTCAGGGCATTTGTCAGCATCCTGGGTGGCATGTGTTTACGCGTGTTTCCGGGCACATGCATGTCAGACTGGGCTGCCAGGGTCACCCAGCAGGGTCAGAGCGTGGGTCCGCTCTGTCCACTCTGCAGTCCCCACAGCCCCTCCTCACCTGGGGTTTCCGTGTGCGGGCATGCGTCCGGTGAGCTCGTGGTGAGGTGCGGCAGGCCCACCCGGTGTGCTGGGACACTGTGTGAGTGAGCATCTTCCCGGCTGCAGGCCACCCGCGTGATGTGGACGCCACCCCTCCGCGAGAGCTTCTCCTACCCGTTCCTCGTCCTGCAGATGTACATCTTAACTTTGATTCTCAGGTAATTCTGATCATAAAACAAAGTTAAATAAATTATAGATGTTTTCTAATTATGCTTCAACCTTTTAAATTGTCACTACCAAAGTTAGACTTGCCCTGTTTTTTTTTTTTTAGTTATTTTTAAATGAATTGAACATAGAGTTAAGAAAACAATTTAAAATTACTATGTAAAAATCACTTTCCATTTAAGGGTCAGGGCTGCAGATTTTAAGTGAAGGCATTACGTTTTAATAAGTCAAAATGCATGTGTCCACATATAGTTTGGGACGATGCCAAGGTTTCTGAGCAGTAATGACTCTGTCTTCAGAGCTGGTGAGCCTCACGCTTTCCAGCATGTGGTTCCCATGGAGCATTAATGCATGAGCCCGGCGAGAAGTATCGTGTGAAATGAGCTTGGGAAACGCGCAGGGAGACAGACGAGAGAATGTGTAGGGTTCATACAGTCGCTGGAGAGAGGCAGACAGAGGGAAAGTTGGAAATCACCCCCAGGAGGGATGACCAGACTGCAGTCCCTTCTCCTCCATTCTCCTCTTGGAATTTTGGGCACACACGTACATGCCTGGGTGATTCTCAAGCTGCCATGTCAGGAACTTGAACTCTGCGCGGCCCTGTGGGAGTCCAGCACCTTCATCACCATGCCACCTGCTGACCCCGTGGAATAGTAGATTTCTAATGTCATGTATAGAGGAAAATGTTTTGTATTTAAAGCATGTGATTTAATGATAAAGTAGAATATATTTGAACCTCCAGTCTTGATCATTTTTATAGTAGGCACTTTTATAGTCCCAGTGTTTGGAACGATCATTTTTAGTGAACAGCCTTGTATCACAGGCAGGGCGGTGGCGGGGACTCTCCTTCCAGCTCACCTTCCTCTCAGTGACAGGTCCTTCCCATGGTGGCACTGACCGGCCCGTTCTCTCCGTGCAGGGCGCCGAACAGCAGCGGGCGGCACTACCTAGCGCTGTGTCTGTCCACCGTGGCCTTCCTATTGCCCTGGCAGTTCGCGCAGTTCATCCTCTTCACCCAGGTGAGACGGCCCTGGCCCGGTCCAGCCCGAACACGCAGCAACGTTGGCTTCACACGTGGCCACAGCGAGGCCCTGAATGTTGTCAAGCATGGAATTCATCTAACGTTTACACTGAAACATGACTAAAAATACAATTTGTGTGGTATAAAAAATAACGTGGATCCACACTCTGCCAGTGTCTTGGCTAGTTTGGCACATACTGGCGTTTCTCTACCGTGTTCGGTCATAAACTGTCCTGGCTTCTGAGATGCTGTCGGGAAGCCTCCTGTGCTGCTCCCTCTGCCTTCAGACCCAGCCTGGGTCATACGGCCCATCCACCCTGGGTGGGAGGGCTGGCCGCTGGCCTGCCGCCGCAGTCTGGCCAGGACTGACCGAGAGCTGTCATCGCGAGGACCGCTGCCCAGCCGAGTTCCCCCTGCTCCCCAACACCTGAGCAGTAGCGAGGAGCTGAACTGGGCAGCTGAGCGTGCCCGGTTTGGACAGTTTCGTGGTCCTAGGGCTTTCTAATGCAGCCAACTGCCTGACAGTAAGGACAGCGTCTGGTTGGCAGTGAGAACTTGCAGGGGCCTCCCGCTGCCCTAGAGCAGGGGCTCTCCAGGCGCCACCCGGCTGCCAGTCTGCAGCTCTCGTTCCGAGCCTCATTACTTCATTGCCACCAAGTGTAATAATCTCACGGTGCTGATGAAGCCAAGTATCTGGAACCAGCAGTTGCCATAATGACTGTGTCGCTGGACTTCCCTGTGGTCCCATGCGCTTCGAGTCCCAGACCGGTGGCTCAAACTCATGCCGGGCATGTGTGCGTGCGTGCCCAAGATCCTGAGAGCAGAAAGGAGGAGAAGGGATTGCGGCATGGCCATCCGCCCGGGGGGTGATTTCTTGCTTTCTGTCTCTCTGTCTCTCTCTGTCTTTCTGGCAAGTGCATGCACCCTATAGCAAAAAAGTCTCAAAAACAAAACAAAACTAAACTAAATATTTAGGAAGCTCTTTGAGTGAGTTCGATGCTTTAATGGTTTTCTAGACATTCAACGATGTTCTGGGCCTTTCGTCTTCTAGGTGAGTTTATACCTATTTATCTCACCTGAGCTAGGGGTGTGAGTGTCCACGCTAAACAGGATAGTCCAGGGCCGCTTTTCTGGACATGCTCTGAGTGTGCTCTCACTGTACCTTCCTGGGTGTGCTCTGAGATTGTTCTCTGGCTGTACCCTCCTGGGTGTGCTCTGAGAGTGTTCTCTGGCTGTACCCTCCTGGGTGTGCTCTGAGAGTGTTCTCTGGCTGTACCTTCCTGGGCGTGCTCTGAGTGTGCTCTGACTGTACCCTCCTGGGCGTGCTCTGATTGTGCTCTGACTGTACCCTCCTGGGCATGCTCTGAGTGTTCTCTGACTGTACCCTCCTGGGCGTGCTCTGAGTGTTCTCTGACTGTACC